AGAGAGCGAGAAAACAGTGAAAATAATTTACCAATATAACAAATCTTTTTACACAACGGTTGMTTGGTTGATTGATTTAATTTGATAAAATTCAATTCTTTCAGCAAAGCAAGTAGAGATTTACAACGACGCTTGTCCAACGTCCCTCATGAGGAGTTTGATCCTCGATTCTCGTTCTCGATGTCTCATAGCTTTGAAGAGACGGGTATTTTCCAGCTTTACAAAGAGATGATAAACATGGAGGTTGTCCACACTCCTGTGAGCGCCATACCCAGATTTTTGAAGTTCAAGAATACAATGAAGATGGTTGGTTTACAATTTGATCACATGGAGGTAATCACAAAAATAGGGATTCTTATTATAATAAGCGGCCGAATGATTTCTTCAAAATCATATGTCGAATTGCACTTTTTCATTTAAGAAGTGAGTTTATTCCATGATTTATAGCGCCACTTTGATATATATGACAGTTGGTTGTGGAAAGGTTAGAATTATTGCAAATTAGCTGTACTTATACGAATATCATATTCATTGTATATCATATATTTAGCTAGATTGAGCGCACTAAACCAAAACAGTACAAATTTGCCCTAATTCTACAAATGAAGAGAGAGAATTACAATTGAATTGACCATTGTCTTTATAATTCAGCAAATTTTCCTCTTCTCTTATTGGTGGAAAATCGATCACGTGACCGCCGCGGAGGAATACCATCAGTTCATAGAGCCCTCCGCTTCAGAATATTTTTGGTGTTGGAAAACGCGTTTTATGGTGATTTGTTTTTCCAAACATTCAGTTTCCGCAACTCTCGACAACTATCACAGTATAATAAATRAATTCAATTACTTCATTGTTTAAAAGCCTAGTAGAAACAAATTAGTACAATTTCAAAGATTTAGTGTATTGATTTGATTACTGTTTGTGAATCGCTAAAAKAATTGCTTGCCTAAGCAAAATCAAAGTACAATGGGATCMCAWTGGCACTAAGTGATTTGAATTTGTTGCCGATCGTTTATTAGCCAACCATAATACTCCAGTTTCGAATTCTCCAATGCTCTGTGTTAGCC